TACTTCCATAGTGATACTGCCTTGGAAACCCAAGGAGGGGTTGCTATGAGTCGGGTCCAACTTGACGGCACATAACAACAACAACAACATATGTTGTTTGCTTTCTTGTGCATTGGTTCCATGGACATTGATTGACATGAAATCATTGACAACTTCAAATTTTTCTCCATTTATCACGATGTTGCTTGTTGGTCCAGTTGTGAGGATTTTTGTTTTCTTTATTTTGAGATATAATCCATACTGAAGGCTGTAGTCTTTGATCTTTATAAATACATCTTGCTTCAAGTCCTCTTCACTTTCAGCAGGCAAGGTTGTGTCATCTGCATAGAACAGGTTGTTAATGAGTCCTCCTCCAATCCCAATGCCATGTTCATCATTTAGTCCAGCTGCTTGGCTTGTTTGCTCAGCATACAGATTGAATAAATATGGTGAAAAGATACACCTTGATGCACACCTTTCCTCATTTGAAATTACACAGTATCCCCTTATTGTGTTCAAATGACTGCCTCTTTATTTCTACCAACTTCTGCAGTCTGAAATTGATCAAACATGCAATCAAGGTGCATTGATAATTACTGGGGACTGGAATAAGAAAGTAGGAAACAAAAAAGGTGACAAGTAGTTGAAAATAGCTTTGGCAGTAGACACCGAGATCATATGATAGAATTTTGCAAGTCCAAGGACTTATTCATTGCAAATACTTTTTCCAACAACACAAAGAGCAACTATACACATGGACCTCAATGATGGAATACACAGGAATAAAACTGATTACAGCTGTGGAAAGAGACCATGGAGAAGCTCAATATCATCAGTCAGAATAAAGCCATCAATTCCTCATACACAAATTTAAGTTGAAGCTGAAGAATATTAAAACAAGTCCACGAGAGGCAAAATATAATCTTGAGTATATCCCACCTAAATTCAGAGACCATTTTAAGGAGAGACTTGAATGCATTGAATACAAATAACCAAAGACTAGATGAGTGACGGGATGACAGAAAAGACATCATATATGAAGAAAGCAAAAGCTTATTAAAAAGACAGGAAAGAAAGAAAAGAACAAAATGGATGTCAAAAGAGACTCTGAAACTTGCTCTTGAATATAGAGTAAAATGAATTGAAGAAATGATGAAGTAAAAGATTTCAAAGTGCAGCTTGAGAAGACAATTTAAAGTATTAAAATGAAAGACCAGGAGTTAGAAAACCAAAAGAGAACATGCTTGATATTTCTCAAGCTGAAAGAACTGAAGAAAAAATTCCAGCCTAGAGATGATAGTTAAAGCTGTGAATATGTATGGCCAAGTTTAGCCTAAAGTTGTTTTAGAATTAAGGAAATGTGTTCTCTGGTTGTGGTTTTGTTTTTTTCTGTATATATATATATATTATTTGTGGTAAAATATGTGTAACATAAAAATTTTCATTTTAACCATATATAAGTATACAATTGAGGGACATTAATTACATTCACAATGCAACCATCATCACTATCTATAATTAAACTCTTTCATCAGCCCAAACAGAAAGTTTGTACCCATTAAGCAATAACTTCTCCTCTCCCAACTTGGTAACTCCACCTACTTTTTCTCTCTATGAAATTGCTTATTCTATATATTTCAGGTAAATGAATCATATAATATTTGTCCTTTTGTGTCTGGCTTATCTCACTTAGCATAATTTTTTTAAGTTTCATCCATATAGTAGCAGATATCAGAATTTAATTCCTTTTTGACGGCTGGATAATATTCCATTGCATATATTATCCTATATTTTGTTTATCCATTCATCTGTTGATGGACACTTGGGTTGTTTTCACCTTTTGACTATTGTGAACAATGCTGTAATGAACATTGGTAAATAGATATCTGTCTAAGTCCTTGTTTTCAAGTCTTTTTGGTGTATTCCTAGGAGTAGAATGGCTGGGTCATTGGTAATTCTATGTTTAACTGTTTGAGGAATGGCCAAACTGTTTTCCATGGAGGCTATACCATTTTATATTCTCACCAGCAATGGAGAAGGGTTCCAATGCCTCCCCATCCTCATTGACACTTGTTATTTTCTGTTTTAGTTATTTATTTTTAATATTGCTACCATTCCCATCCTAGTAAGTGTGAAGTCATGTGGTTTTGGCTTGCATTTCCCTAAAGACTAATGACATTGAGCATCTTTTCATGTGCTTATTAGACATTTGTATATCTTCCTTGGAGAACTGTCTAGTCAACTCTGTCCATTTTTAAACTGGGTTTTTTGTTGGTTTTGCTATGTTTTCAAAGTAGAATTCCATTCTTATTTGTAGGCAGACGCTAGGGAGAGAGGTTTTAGAGTAATATAGAGAGAAAGGAATCAAGAACCCTGAAAGGAAGGTTGGGTTACACTTCTCCCTTCTTCTCCTCTCTTTTCTGAGTTAGAGACAGAGGAATTTTGTGGTAGGAAGGATAATGTTTTAGAGCACCTCATTCAGGAATCCTGTGATTGAAATAATGGTGTTTGAGAACTTGAAGAAAGGAGAAAATGTTTAGAAGACTCACTTTAAGAAATGCAATTGTTGTAAGAAATGCAATAGAGAGTCAAAATGAAGAATGAAAGGTCTGCTGAGTATGGGTTTGAAGTGACCTAGATCACCATTTCTTGACTGTCTTTAGCAGCACTGAGGAGCAGGGAGTGGATGGTGGTATTTAGCCAGCTTGCATACTGGGTAGGACAGGCAAGGAGGGATTCCAGGCTGGCAGTGAGCATATGGTTCTGAGCAGGGGCCAGCTTGGGTGAGGAGACAAATGAAATTAATGTCAAGGGTTTGAGTGTGGAGAAAAGGAGAGGCTGATGGATTCAGGGTCATGATCAGAAAAAATTTAATATAATTCAATACATGTTTATTTCAGTTAGGTGATGGAAGTAAAAAGATGAATAAATGCTGATCCCTGCTCTTGATGATGAAGGCTACTATTTATTAGTTGAGGAACTGTACAAGTATTTTCTTTAATCCTTTCAGTGACCCTCTCAGTAGACATTATTGGTTTAAGAAAGAGTGTGAGCTCTGCCACAGCATCCACTTATATACTGGAGGCAGACCACGCCACCAAAGAAGCTCCCTTTTCAACTGATTGGCTGCTCACATTAGATCACAAAATGGAAGGTGATTACATACAGTATCTGCCAAACCATTGAGAATAATAGTTGACACATAACATTAACCATTATACCTTCTTATGGAAGCCATTCTCTTCATCATTAAATTATACCATTTCTCTCTTTAAAAAGCCTACAATCCAGTAAGGATGACAAAAATCTAAATGGGTATAACAACACTGCTAAATGAAATTGCCAATGTACGACCATTTTTGACCCCCAAAAATTCAATTTCACATGGTTCAACCTAATAATAATAATGATATTTACTATTATTATTATTATTTTCCAAGGTACAGAGGTATCACAGGGGAAGTAATATGACTAACTCTGCAGTTATTTATCCAATATCTCCTCATGAGACAATGGAATGTTCAAATTCACAGAGGCATAAAGGCATGCAGCAAATTTAACAACTTTAGCATAGCTAGAAGTTCTGGTAGCATAGTGCCTAAGGCATTTGACTGCTAACCAGAAGGCTGTTGGTTCAAACCCACCAGCCACTCCTCCAAAGGAAGGAAGGTTGGGCAATCTACTTACATAGTGATACTGCCTCAGAAACCCAAGAAGGGGTCACTATGAGTCAGGTCTGACTTAATGGCACATAACAACAACAACAACAGAAATTAGGGTGTGAGTAGGAAAGCAATGGGAGATGAAGCTGGAAGGATCCTCAGGGGCAGAGTCAAGGGTATAGTCAAGGGGAAATGAGAAAGTTGTTATCAGAGAAATGATTTTACAAGTTTAAGATTTTGGAGGTGGAACAATTCTGAGTGATGGTGATTCAAGTGGAGTGGAGCTGAATGACACTAGAAGTAAGGAAGTTATGGAACTTCCAGACCAAAATTGTTAAAAGCCATTGAAGTCCCTCAAGATGATGGTTGAAGACACTAGGCCCAGTACTGAATTCCCTGAGAAAGGTACGTAAGTGCCCTGGAAGTTAGAAAGGATAGTATGAGTTTTCTGTTAACTGCATTTGAGTCATGTGAGCATTTGAGTTTGTCACACCTTCTTTGTTAAGGGCTCTTTCAAAACATACCAGTAATGATTTAGATTTATATATTTTTTCCAAATAACACCCTGTTGGCTATATTGTAAATAGAAATATCTTCTTTAAAATATCAAAGTGCCATAGGGTGTATGGTAGAAAAACATAACTTTCAATTTATATGTAGAAAATTATACCTTTTCCTAAACTTGTTATTTTTGTTGTTAGGTGCCATCAAGTGATTCTGACTCGACCCCATATGACCAAATAGAACTGCTGCCCCATTGGGTTTTCTAGGTTGTAATCTTTATGGAGATTGGTCTTGAAACACTAACCTCTCAGTTAGCAGCCGAGTGTTTAACCCTTTGTGCCACCAGGGCTCTTTTTTTCCCCCTAGACAAAGAAAGGGTAATTCAGCAGTATAAATTCTACTCCTTTACTTCAGCATTCAGGGAGAGAATAGGGCCAGGATGCAAGGGGAATGGAGTTAAACTGTTGAATTGAGCAGAATGCACTGACCTTCTTCCATTTTCTGCAGATGGGACTCGTGCAGGGAAGTACCGCTCACTCTTCCATCCAGAGCAGCTCGTTAGTGGAAAGGAGGATGCTGGAAACAACTATGCCCGAGGCCACTACTCTATAGGGTCAGAGATCATTGACCTTGTGCTGGAGAGGATCCGAAAGCTGGCAAGTGGCTCCTCTTCCTTTTACACAGGTTCATGTCTGGGTGCTTCTGATCCTGTAGCAGACCTCCTCCCAAGTATCACCAGCATTGCCTACCACCACAAAGGGCCCTGGTGGTGGAATGGCTAAGCACTCAGCTGCTAGCCAAAAGGCTGGCACTTGGAACCCACTCAGCAGCTTTGCAGGGGAAAGAAAGGGTAATTTGTTTCTGTAATGATTATAGCCTACAAAACTCTATGGGGCAGTTCTACTCTGTCACATAGGGTCACAATGATTTGAAATAGACTTGAGGGCATCTAATAACAACAACAAGCTACCACCACATCCCAACCACCCAACTCTGTACCTTGGAATGTCACAATGGATGTGCAGAGATAGGGAAATGCCCTAAAGTTGGCTTTGACTACCCTTTGTTACATAGGAAGTGAAAGAAGCCTTTACACTTACTGAGGAGCCCCCATCTACCCTTCCTTCTGCTAATGCAGGGTTTATGTTGTTACCAGCGACATCCAAAATACTCTAAAACTTATCTGTTATAAAATAGTAAGCACTGTATGTGAAGTTATAGGGGACACTTCCTACTCGGAGATTAATAAGCTTATTAAAAAAAAAAAAATTGCCATCAAGTCCATTCCAACTCAGGGCAACCCCACATGTGTCATTGTGTAACTGTGTTCCATAGAGTTTTCAGTGGCTGTGACCTTTTGGAAGTAGATCACCAGGCCTTAAGTCCAGCTACGTTATTTACTGACAGCTAATTC